GCTTGGTGATTCTCTGAAGGTGAGAAAGAGACAGGGAAGACATAGATGATTCCTAGGTTTTAGGATGTGACAATCATAGTACCGTTCACTGTAGAGAGAACACAGAACAAAGAGAATACAGAAGAAACTGTTTTGTTTTTTAAATTCCCAATCGATATAGTTTGGCTGTATTCCCAACCAAATCTCATCTTGAACTGTCGGCTCCATAATCCCCATGGGTAGTGGGAGGGACCAGGTGGAGATAATTGAATCATCACCATGTGTAGTCGGGGGGGGGGGGGACTAGGTGGAGATAATTGAATCACCAGTTGGAGATAATAGAAACCAGGGCGGTTTCCCCCATCCTGTTCTCGTGATAGTGAATTAGTTCTCATGATATCTGGTGGTTTTATAAGGGGCTCTCCACCATGCTCTGCCCTTCTCCTTGCTGCCACCATCTGAAAAAGGACGTGTTTGCTTCCCCTTCTGCCATGATTTAAGTTTTCTGAGGCCTCGCAGCCATACTGAATTGTGAGTCCATTAAACCTCTTTCCTTTATAAATTATTCCATCTTGGGTATGTCTTTATTAGCAGTGTGAGAATGGACTAATACATCAATTATAGAGGATTCATTTTAAACATGTTAATATTGACATATCTTTGAGAAGACAGGTAGGAGAGATCCTGTGGGCACCTAGAGATCACCTAGGGCTGAAGGCAGGTGTAGATGGCTTTAATGTGAGTGCAGAAGCCAGGAATGTGGATAAGACCTCCTTTGTGATGTACACAATGAAAGAAGAAAAAGGGTGAGAACTGAACCTGTGGAACTAAGACCTGTGACAAAGGACCAGTGGAAAAATAAGAAGGGGAGGATAAATGATGAATCAAAGACACAGGACAGGCTGGGCACAGTGGCTCATGCCTGTAATCTCAGCACTTTGGGTGGCCAAGGTGGGTGGATCACTTGAGTTCAGAAATTCAAGACCAAGCTCAGCTTTGGCAACATGGAGAGACCCCATGGGGGGAAATATATATATAAAATATAGTTGTATGTAAAAATATCTATTTATATACATATATAAAACAAGTACATTGAAGAGGCTGTGCAGGAGCACAGATGAACAGGTTGGCCTTTGTCAAAAGAAGCACATTTCTACCACTGAGAGAAAACCATAAGGGTGACTGTGAAAGCAGGTAAATGTGTAGACTCTAGTTGGTAAAGGTAAAAGAGCTCTCCCCTGGTGCTTCAGTCTCATCTATAAGGTAAAAGCAAAGCCATCTGTGGCTACATATGGAAACTCTGTGTACCAGTGAAGATTAGGAATAATGATAGAAGGATGACCAGAGGTGATCCCCTCCCCCACAAAAAATTGTAATTACATATTGAGGGCCCAGCAGACATTGAATGAAGACTATAAACTCAAGTCAAAAAATTTTTCTGCATTTTTTTCCAGCAGCTTTTCCACTGTCCTGAAACAAGATAGAGAATCTAAGGTAAGATACGGCATGAAAAATGTTTGACATGGCCACTTTTGCCATAGAACGAAGAAGAAAATAATTAAATGTAGTCCATTTCAAGAGTTACCACAAGTGTAGTGTTGGCTTATAAGACAGAATACCTGGACGCGGTTTCATGTGTGCCTATTGTTTGCTGAAAGGATTTTAATCCTATAATAAAATCTCTCAAAACGTGCCATGGAAAGTATTTCCTAGAATTCTTAAAAACTAATGAGAAGGAAGCTTGAATATGCTGATTAACACAGAAGCTAGTTACTGGAAAAGAAAAGCAAGGTTGAAAGATATTGTTTAATATCCTTTCAGCTACTCTAAAAGATTATATAACTGAATATAGAACAAGCTATATAAAGTACAAGGGCTAGTCAAAGAAACATCAGGCTAATACCTGAGTTTTCATACACAGTACAAGTCTAAAATATTTTTTACCCCCAACCTGAATATGGCTTAAACTTTTCATACAATGTCCTACTGGCCTAATATACATTTTAGAATTAATTATTGCAAGTAGTTCATGTAGATAAATGCATTTTTATTTAACTTTAAGTAGTTTGTTTCATTGTTTTGAGTATAAATAAGCTATCTCATCAATGACCACTTCAAAGATACGGTTTATTAAATATCTTAATCATTATTCATAAAGCATTATAGGATTATCAGTAAAGTTCCCTAATAGATAGTACTATTATTTTCACTCTTTCCAAGGAGTCAGTTGTCAATATAAAATATATGTTTAGAGAATGGGTCAGTAAAGCAGCAATTTGAAGGATAATGAAGAATATTTGAATGACTGAAGGATAATGAATCAAACTGAGGGAAATGAAGTGAGAATGAAATAATGTCAATAATTAATATAAGAATAGTAAGGAGCATTTTATAAATAAACTCTTAAAAGCAAACTATTCACAATAAACAAGATTTGAACAATGAGTCTGTGAGGAGCTGCTACCGAACTTTAAGTTGCTCAAACATACTAACTGTGGAAGAGCAGTACAAATGACAAGTAGGCTTCCCACCAAGCAAAACTAGAAAATCAAAATTTGTTTCCAGCAGTAGCACATCTTCAAGTCCTTCCTTTTTACTTCCTTCTTTGACATTCTTTGTCAAAACAAAACAGATCTACTTAAAAGGTCAAAGGCCACTGGAGAAATAGTTTATGTTCAGAAAACACAGGTGTCCTGTGTCTTAAAGAGAAATACAGGTCTTGAAATGAGACAGACTGTGAAAATAATGAATTAGTTAGAATTCATAGGGAAGGAACTTCATTCCTTAACACTTATCATGGTATTGTTTCTGTGGTGTATTATTACTTCAGTAACTTCTTCCTGTAACGATCTAGGTTACATGTAGGTATATATTTATCACAATAATCTGATGGCTGTCTAATAACTAGTCACATGCATGACATCTCTACTTTATAATAGTAGGAGAAACTTACTCTAATCTGACTAAAGTAAAATATGATACATATGCCTTTTTAATTCTGCAATAACCCATTTATCTTTACTATTAAGTTAGATTTTTAAAGTTACCAAGACGTGTTTTACTGAAATATATGCAATCAGTACTTTGTCAGTTCTTTACTACTATGATCTGAAAAAGTTGCAATACAAAGAGAGTAAGGATTACAATTATACTTGAAGATGAGCATACTAAAAATCTATGATATGTTTGAAAACCTAGCAAATAGGTGAGTCATACTTTCGTTACTTTACTTGCTGCCTAGCAAACTAAACTGGGTGCCTAAAATTCCCTTTCTGTTTATTTTCAACTTCAATTATATAGGCACAGTATTTAAATTATTTAGCCTCTATTGTTCTAGGTACTTAGATTTTTCTGCATCACAATTCTCCAGTTTCCATTGTATTATTTCCTGTTATAAGATTATTCAAAGGAGTTTTTTTTTTTTATTGTTTTTCAAAGGGAGGCAGACTGACCAGTCATGACTGGGGTTATTTCACAAAGCTAGTTCCTTCCTGTATACAAATTCACACACGCACCCATATTCACACAAATGCTGGCCCTAGGTAAGAAAATAAGGTTGGCAAGCATTTGAAGTCTTCAGACCATTCTTTCTCTGCCCCTCCTTTGGGGAGCACCACCTCCCCTTCAATTATTCTGCATCCTGTATTTTCTCCTCTTCCTTACAAAGAGCCTGGTATCAGTCGCAGCTCCTGACACTCCTGAGTTACATGGCCTACTTCTGAGGCACACATAGACTTGGTAGCAAAGTGAAGGGAAGGGAAGCAGCAGACCTGTCTCTCAGCTGGTAGCTGCAACCTTTCTGGCACACCAGTGCCTCTCCTTCTTACAAGTTACATCCTGTCTGTAGACAGACTGGCCCAACAACAAGGTTGTATCTATTGAGGTTAAACTTGCCCAGAACAGTGTTTGTCAGAGCAGAGAGGCAGAAAGAGTGAAAAACAGGAAGGTGAGTTCTCAAAAGAGTTAAAATCTACCCTTAAAAATTCTACATATGCTCAGTCAAGTAAATCCTTATGATTTTTTTAACTGATATTTTGTCCTGGAAGATAATGATATTAACATATTCTAGAAAAGAAAAAGCTTGATTCAGCAAAACCTCATTGAGAGATATATGATTAAATGTTGATAACAATACATTTTTTAGGTTATTTCATATACAAGTTTAATGAAGTTCTAAATATATAGAATGACTGAATATACATTTTAAGAAAACATGAAATAGGTGACTGGGTACAACTGAAAAAGAGGCATCCAAATATTTTAGATTGTTCGTTTCTTATATACTTGATTTTATGTATGAGAGTGTTTGTCATTCTGATTCAGAATGAAACGACTTTGAATGGTATTTGTGGAATCACATTGTTTCTAGCCTGAGAAATAATTTATTATGGAAAAGTTGAAAAGTTGCTCTAATTTGCTAATATTTCAAAGCATCATTTATTTTTGCAGGGAAAGAACCAGAAAAAATCAGTTCCAAACTTAAAATATCAATACTCATAGTTTAGCATTTAAAAATTAATAACTACATGGAGTTACCAGTGATATTTTTAAAATTTATATTTTTGCTATGTGTACTGTTTAAACAAAGTCATAAGTTTACCAAAGTGGGCTAACAGCCTTCATTCCAAAATGTCCCAAAATAATTTCTGAACCACATGACAGATGTTTGATGCAGATAACTAAATTTTCTGTTATGTTTGTTTATAGTTAATAGTAAAACCAACAGAGAGTGCTAGACTTTAGACAAGCATATCTTAGAAATATAAACTTACGTGAAACTAGACAGAAATATCATCTCAAAGTACTTTTTTCTCTTAAACAACCAAACAGAAAAAAACAAAGATCAGAGATGAAAGGAAAAAAAAATATATTGAGCGACATTACATGTCAGCCAGACACTGGGATAGATGCTTTATATACCTTAGGTCATTTAATGTTTTAGTTAAGTAGAAGATGTTTTAAAGTTGTGAAGGTATTTAACTAGTTTTTCATTTTCTAAGTCAGCACAGCTTTTGACTCACCTGTTCACAATGCAAAGATTATTTGTTCTACCCTATGTTTCTGTTGCACAACTTTTTCTTGCTTTTAAAAGTCATTTATTGAATCATCATCTGCCTCAGGTTTGATATGGTATAGCCTCTAAAAGACTGGTTTAGTACTTCAGCTCGCCTTTCAAAATATTTACAGTGCAGGCCTTCAGTGTTCCAGGTATCTAATGAGTCATTTTCCTCTTCCCAGTCTACCAAGCAGGATCTCAAAGCCTCCTTTATCTTTCTGGGTGGATACAGAGTCATTAAACTTAAATATGTCCTTTGCCAATAGACTTGAGGGTTGGGTTTAGTTATTAACTTGGTGAGTCTCCACCCAGCTAACTATTCTAGGAAATTATTTGGTGAGTCAGGCATTTTTGTATTCACATTGCAGCAGCCAGTCATCTGCCCTAAGTGCTGCCGCTGAAGACTGAATGTCCTGGAATGTTTGCTATCACATCTCCATTATGACAAAAGCATTGTGCAGAACAGATGAAAAAATGCATTGTCAATGGAGTCTTTTATATTTGTTTTCCTTTAAGCAACATTGCCTTGTTATAAAAGATCAATAAATATTTGTTCATTTCAATTTTGATGAGTCTGTGAGCTGTTACCATCAAGCATAGAGCAGCATCCTACTTTGGGATTGAGAAAGTGGGAATTCTAAAGTGAAAGTCTATGTTGATTAAACAAAACTAAAAACTGAGCCACTCCTCCCACATCTGGTAGAGAAATTGTGACCACATGCCCACTCTGCACTAAGAGGAAAGACCAGACTCACTGGTTCACTGGTATGTTTTCCTTATTGTAGACTGTGGTATGACAATGCCAAGTAATAAAATTTCCATGACATCCCTCTCTTGAGTTGATCCAAAGAACTTGGAGGGGAAAAGGAAGGGAGAAGATGTGAGGAGACACAGCAAGTTAAGCACCCATCTCTGCTTTTTCACAGAAACAAAAATGATAGGTTCTTATCTACTTGGAAGGTGAGGATACTACTAATTGATAAAATGAACAAAGTTAATTTTCTAAATGTCAAGATGTGAAGAAAATTTAATCTTCTTTAGGAAAAAGAATTCTTCTTAAAATAAAAAAATGTGTATTGAATTCTTACTATGTAATAGGCACTGAAGCAAGCACCTTACATGCTTTTGCTCACAACAACTCCATAATGTTGCTGTTATTTCACCATTTTACAATGTATTAGTCTGTGTTCATGCTGCTGATAAAGACATACCCCGAGATGGGGTTATAAACAGGAAAAAGGTTTTAGTGGACTTATAGTTCCACATGGCTGGGGAGGCAGAAGGCAAAGAGGAGCAAGTCATGTCTTACATGGATGGCAGCAGGCAAAAAGAGAGCTTGTGCAGGGAAACTCCTGTTTTTAAAACCATCAGATTTTGTGAGGCTTATTCACTATCACAAGAACAGCACAGGAAAGACCAATCCCCATGATTCATTTACCTCCCAATGGATCCCTCTCATGAAATGTGGAAATAGTGGGAGTTACTATTCAAGATGAGATTTGGGAGGAGACACAGAGAAACGACATCAATGGATAAAGAAATTTAGGACAGTAACTTTCCCAGAGTTGCAGAGCTGAGCCAAAATTTAGATGACTTCGTTGCATTTGTTTTTAAGCACCAGGCTATTAAATTAGGTTTTGTTATTGTTGAAAAGTCAGAACTAAGGGTAAGTATATTGTATGGCCTATACAGTAAGGAATTAAAAGAAAACTAATGCAACTAGCATGTAGCCTTACAATTAGTTTACGTTTTATATGTATAATACATATATATATATATAATGTATTTACAATAACTTGTTTTCATATTAAATTTTACCATTTTTTAACAAAATCACATGATGAAATATTCAAAGTAATCATTCCAAGGCAATGAGAAATAACTGTATCAAAACATAGCTAAAATTCCAAAAGAGGTGATCCTACTGAAAGTTATAAAGTTTAAAAAAAAGAGAGACAGTGTTCCCATTTGACAAAGATGGGTTGCGGCGGCTCAAATGTTCATTCTTCTTATCTTTTCACATATGTTGAGAATATTTTATATAGAAATATATTTATAAAAACATGAATCATTACCTATGCAGAACTTCTGGTCATTATCCTTACCTTTATTATACCCTAGGGAACCTTATTTTCCAACTTTGTGTCTGAGCTCATAGGGAAAGCCAGAAATAATAAAAAGAATATATGCTAGGTAGAAGTGTAAATGAACACGTAATTTTTTTCTGGGAAAAAATAAGAAGACTATAGAGCCAGATGGTTCTTAGCAACAAATTCTTTTAGAATACGATGTGATATAGCTAAAAAGAAAAAAACTTCCAAATTGATTTATCAGGTCTACAAATCTGATACCAACAGTTGACAAATGTAAAAACAAACAAAAAACAATCACCAAGGGAGAGGACTTGAGGAAAAAGAGAGTAAGAGAAAGAAATAAAAAGAAGGAAAATTAAACAAAATAGCAGTTATGGCTATAGATGAAGTAATGTTAAATACAATTTTGCCAAATCAAATTCAAAAATGAATTAAGGCTGGGAATGGTGGCTCACACTCGTAATGCCAGCACTTTGGAAGGCCAAGGCAGGCAGATCCTTGAGTTCAGAAGTTCGAGACCAACCCAGGAAACATGATGAAACCCCCATCTCTACAAAAAACACAAAAATTTTCCAGGCATGGTGGCACATTCCTGTAGTTCCAGCTATTTGAGAGGCTGAGGCAGGGGAATCAGTTTGAGTCCAGGATGCAGTAAGCCAATATCATGCTATTACATTCCAGCCAGGTGACAGAGTGAGGCCCTGTCTCAAAACAAAAAACAAACAAACAAAACATATATTAAAAGAAAAATCTGTTCCTACCAAGGAAATTTTAGTCTCATGAAATTAAAGGGTAGTTTAGAAGACGAGACATACCACAAGGCATTTACAGATCAAAGGAGAAAATAGAGATAGATATCAAAAGGGTGTCTAATAAATTTAATGCTAACCCTCATTTTTAAAACACCCACAGTACACTAGAAGTACATGGATATCTCCCAAACATGACAAAGAATATTATTTATTAGTTAAGGAAGCACTAGCTGCTGTAACTTATAAATTCTGAAATTCTGTAGTTTAATAAAATATGTTGACTTCTTATTCCTCTGTGGTTCAACCAGTGGCAGTTTCAAGGAGGTGAGGACAGCATAATTTCAGAGTGCTATGTACGAAGTACTGTCTACAAGATCAAGATATTCAGGCTGATGGAGCCTCTATCATCTTTATTACACAGTTTCTTAGGCTACCCTTAGAATTAGCATCTAACCAGCAAACAGGGAACAAAAGGAGAACATATATGGGACATTTTTAATACAGATTAGGTCAGAAAGTGGCACTCATCACTTCCACTAACATCCCACTAATTAGAACTTAGCATATTTTTGCTTCTAACTGCAAAGAAGGCTGGGAAATGTAATCTCTCTGTGTACCAGAAGAAAAACTGGGTTTGGTGAACAGCTAGCCAGTCTCCGCTGAATCTATTCTACTGGTTATCACATAGTCTTTTTTATTCTTCTTCCTACACAGAGCTAACCTCCTTCTTAAAAGACACAATTCAAAATCCCAGCCAGTCACTATGTCCAGCTCAAAATACAAGATCTCCAAGTGACAGTGATATATACAGTTCTTTCTCTATCTGATAAAAATGTGGCCTTATAGTTCAGCAACATATCAATTAAAATAAATTATCTGCCCAATTCCCTCTCCTGCAGATACACACACACACACACACACACACACACACACACACACACAGAGAGAGAGAGAGAGAGAGAGAGAGAGAGAGAGGGAGGGAGGAATACTTAATACCTTTTAATTTACTATTTAAAATTATTTAATTTATTCATTTCCTTTGTTTGGCGTCACCTTCCATTAGAACTTAAACTCCATGATAGCAGACTTTTGCCTCCCCACCCTTTGACTGCTATATTTTCTCAGTGCCTACAAGTAAATAATTGTTAAATAACTATACATCTACATTGCCCAAAATAAGCATATATTATTTTAACAGTAAAATTATTAATTTTAAAACAAACAGAAATGCAAATATCTTGGGAAGTGGTTAAGCATCATTCACACCTTGGTTTCAGTTTCCCAAATCTCACTGATAGAACTAAATCACCACTCTTGGAGCTGGAGTTTGTATAGAAAGGGAAAGAGAGTAGGATGGTGGAAGGTAGGACTATGGAGAACCGAAACGGCACGAAGACACCGGTCTGCAAGACAGCAGAAAAGGGGAGTCAAGAGGTGAAAGACAGGATCAGAAAGAAAGGTGAGAGAGTAACAAACTTTGGTTTGAGTCACAAGGGTAATTAATTAGTTAATTAACTAACTGATTAGGAACTTGTAAACTCCTTCATTCAATAGTACCATATTGATTTTTATCTGCCAAAACTGTGAAGAGTATTTGAGATTAAAAAATGAACAAGAGACAGAGTATGACCCTGAGAAACTCATATCTAGTTTGGGGGGACAGAACATAATGAGTATATGAGTGTGATGAGGGAGGTGTGAATAAAATGTTATGCCAACACAGAAAGAAAGCAATTAACCAGGCTATGGCCAAGTGGAAGACAGATCCAAGACAAGTTTCAGGAAGAAAGAATCTGAGTCTAGAAGAGAGGATAGCATTTGTGAAGGTTTAGAAGTGAAGGAGAGAAAGGCATAATGCATTCAGAAGACTGGACTTTAGGGAATGAGTAAGGGGGTTGGAGATGTTAGCAGGGGACAGATTGTGAATGTTCATTCTTGTCCAGCTCTAATTCCCTTAAGCCACCAAGCTGTCCCCCCGCCACACACGCATACCCTGCTGCATAAAAGGGGAGTTCTACTTCTTACATATAACTCCTTTTCATTTTTAGTCTGTCTCATTGTTTTGGTACTTTGGAAATACTCTTGTCTAAATATCAACCTTGATGCCCACTGGAAAGCAACTGTTGTCCCCATCTCTGCAAAAGCTTCCTCACGCCATCCTATTCATACTCTCCTTCTGGTTCCATTTGCTCCAGAATACTTTATTTCCCTCTGCCAATGTTACTCCCATTCCAGATGCAGACTTTATAAGCCTTTATAAGCTTTGCTAAGGCATGTGTACTTGACCCTAGACAGCCACTAAAGAATTTTAATCATAAGCATGATAACATTATAAAATTTGCATTTTATAAAAATCACTCAGCAGTGCAGAGAATGGCTTGGAAGGGCATAAACTAGGAGCAGAAGACATTTAGAGTAAGCTGGAAAAAATAAGAAGGGCTGATATTAGGCCTTGTTATTATCAGTAAAATAAAATATAGTTTTAGAGAAATGACTGTTCTTATCAGTCATAACTGAACATATCATTCCAGGTATGTTAAATATCTGTTTATTTGTCTTGTGAAGATAAAGGGAAAGGTGAGTAAATAATAGTATCTTCAATATAATTTAAAAATCATCTAACATTAAATTTTATGCTC